TTCTTAGTTTCTAAAATCAGGGAGAAGATAAGAAGCACGATAGTAAAATCTTTGAAACCGCAATAGCCTCGCTCGGCACAAGAAAATTACTTAGCTGAGTCTATAAGAAGCTTGAACCGGTTAAGATCTGCTCCGCTGCTAGGGAAAGCTCTGGCTATATTTTATCTTTCTCTCTCTCTACTCGGAACAGCTAGAACGAATTCTTTCGGCCAGAGGACTATTCGGTTATCAAGAAACCTAGACTCATACCAAACGGTGCGATGTCGTCAAAATTAAATTTGATTGGAGTCACCGAAACCAACTCTACACCAGAATGTAGATGGAGAAGAGGACGTGGAAACCCAATTGGGAAACACTATATCTCGGAAAGAGCTCAAAACTTTATCCAAAAGTAGCTCTGATCAGGCGAGCTACTAAGTCCGTTGAAGATTGAGCATCGAAAAATATAGATTTGAGTTATTAAATTTTTTTATGTTTTTAATATCATCAGAGGTACCACATATAGTGAAGTGGAGGAGTATGAATTAGAGTACTTTACACACAAATTAGGCGGATTTCTACAAAAGACACTGCTGTGAGCAACAATATTTTGACTTCATGTACTATGCTGATGCCTCCGAGTCTTATCTTGCCTTTTCTATTTTAGCCAGAGACTCTTATGAGATCAACTCATCATCTAATATGAGAAATAATTAAATGAAGAGAATGCTAACATCTCATCTACTGACCACGAATTGCCTCTTATACGTTTACATTTTTCTTATTTTTCCTTAGAAAGCCTTAAAATATGCTACATCCACGACACATGAATGCAGATGGCCATTTGCGAACCCCAACATTGAGGTTTCACTCTTCTTATTGGACTAATTGAAATAAATTAAACATAATTATTTGCATTTTGAAGATACTTTTGGGGAGGAGCAGTACATTTCTTCTTGAATATGTTCCTCCGTTGCTCACTGGCTACCGCTATCTTTCACTTTCCCATTCTATTCCTCTTACCCTCTCAATCTCTTGCCCCCTCTCGGCATATTCAGTCGAGTGCCTGTGTATGTGTGGTTATAATCTCACCCTAAAAAGGCATATAATTGCCCCACTAAATAACCGCACTAATAATACCGTTACTCAACTACAAGAGCAACTACAGCAACAACAACAACAACAACGAAATAACCCATCAAATCAACTACCTAACAACAAATCTGACCCTACACTGCTGCAATGAAACCCTCAGCTGCCGCACTGAAAGTAAGGCATAACAAGGGGTCGATGAACAATAATAACAACAACAAAAACAACAAATCAACAATAACAATAATAATAATTTCAGCTTGACGTGAGCACATAAATTCAAGGTGTAAAACGTGATTTGTGCCAGTCAGGTCAGGTAGTCTGTCGGCCAGTGTGTGTGTATGTGCATGTGTACTTGTATTTGTGTATTTGTACACTACCTAAATCATACGGAAAAGACTCCAAGCTTTGTTAGTATTCCTATAATGAACTACTAAACTGATTATCGAAAGACTAGTTCAATTTACAACTAGTTCATAAAAAGATAAATTGGTTTTCATATCATAACAATTAATTTTTCCGTATTTAAATAAAATAAAAAATTAAAAAAAAAACTAAAATAAATTTTTTTTTGTTTCTTTTTTGTACTTGCATGGTATGAGACTATTTTGTTACTGCTCAAAAATCTACAAATTGAAAACCCAAATTAAAAAAACCGCTGCCTATATTGAATAAGTACCAGTTAGCATACTATTTTTGTGACATATTTATTTTCAAGTAGTTTACAACGCGTACACTTGACAGCAGGGCTTTGCGCATCACATATATGAGAATGTGTTGGAGCAGATATGTGTGTGTGATTTTCACAATCAACTACAAGCCATACCCTCCTTGCCTACTGCTTACCCATACGGTTATCTTCATCAACGTTCGACTTATAATAGCTCAGCTCTCCGTGCTTAACGGTTTCATAACGGTTTCATTTTCAAGTAATTGCTTTCGCTCCCGCACTGCCTTTAATATAATGCTCAGATAATAATTATAGCTATTGTACATATGAATGTATGCATATTATTATTAAAAATTTTCATTTGTGTGCCATTTGTTGTTGTTATTGCTGTTGTTTAATAATAATGTTTTGTAATTTTCGGCAAATATTTGTATAATTAGCAGCATTTACATACATATGTATATTATTTATGTATCATATTTTGATAATTCGATTTTGTTATTGTTAAATACTTTTTGGCATTTTGTGTGGCTGTCAGTGCGTATGATTAACATTTGAGTGAATTTTCAAGTAAATGAAGTTAATGAATTTCTATTTGATTTAATAATGTAATTATAATATATTAATTTAAGCAATGTAAAAATCATGAAGGAATCAATGAATATTAGTACTAAATTTAAGAACTAAGAATTATGTTAATCTATAAAAAAAATTATTTAAAAATTTTTATTAAATCTTATTATTGATTAAAATATTTTTAAAACTGTAACTTTAATAATAATAATTTATAGAAATTCAAAAGTAAACTTAAGTAAAAAGCTAAGGAAATTTTAGTCATTTATAAGAGAAAAAAATATGTTTATTTTTCCATAAATTTTTAATATAAATTGAATTAAAAATAATAATAATGGGTATAGAAATATTATTGTCGTTAAAATTATTTAAATATTTAATTAACTTTTTTCTATAAATAAATATTTATTTTAAACTCAGAAAGCTGCAATATTTTTAATAAAAAACTATAATGTTTAACATTCTTCACAATCCAACTACGGCTAAATGGACTTTTGAGGTGATGAGCACAGTAAAATAAAATTTTAATAAGAAAAAATTAAAAAAAAAATTATAAAAAAAAAAACAATTATAAATAAATATTTATAATAAATTTCTTTAACATAGCAATATTATTATACTCAATAAAATATGAAAACTATCATACAAAACAAAATTTATTATTTAAAAAAAAAATTTTAATTAATATTTTTCACAATTTTTTGGAAAAATTTACGCTTCAAACATCTTTATATTAGCAAACTGAAACCGAGAAGAACTTTTTTTGAATTTAAATTTGAATTTTTTTAAGTTTGCAAAACTCAAAATTCTGGTTCGTATTGCTTTATTATTTACCTTGTCTAGTTGTTTTATTTTTATTTATTTCTTTAATGCTTTTCAAACGAAAATCAAAATAAAAGACAGTGACTTTCAAGAAATTTCAAAATTTTACTGTGAAAAAAAATGTATATAAGAGCTAATAAAATAAAATTAAATTTAATAAAATTTTATTTGCACACATTTAAAAGCCTCTAACCTCTGAGTGTATATAAATAGTATATACATATGTAAAATAAATAAGCAGCTGCTAAAATAATTTCACTTTGTCTGCCTTTAGTCTAGGCTAAAGTAATGTAATACTACAACTAAATAACCGAAGGTCCTGCGAAGCAAAATATAAAAATCTATAATTAAATATTAAAATGTATCATAAAAAATATTTAACATATAACATGGTAAATGTGTCAAAAGCATAATAAACGTTACCGTAAAGTATATTTTTTTTTATCAAAAGAAATCTCAAATTGCCAAACTGCCAGGACATTCAAGGATATTAAAGATTATTATCAAAATTTTAGTTTGATTTTATTTTATTATCATATTTAGCAAGGGAAAAGAGAGGGAAAAGATAAAATAAAATAAAATTTACTCTTAATATAGCGAATAGATAATATAAGTAGGAAAGTAGATAATACGTGTAAATAACGGTTATTAATGGCAAATGGCAGTATGAGAAAAAAATTAATAAAATTATGTAAGCATATAAGTATTGCCAAAGCACTGTATGGTATGGGAAAATATTAAGGAGAAGTCAATTTCTCTTAAATAGTAAAAAAATTCTGAAAGAAAGAAAATAAAAATAAAAAATAAATATCAAAACAACTTAAAAAAATAAAAAATAAAATATTCAGAAATGTAAAAATATTATTATGAATACTAGTTAATATATATTTAAATAAATTTTAGACATTTTAAAATTATTCAGAATATTTTAAAATAAATTTAAAAACGATTAAAAAATGAAATGTAAAAAAAAATATAAAAAAAAGTCTGAAAGTCAACACAAAAATAATTTATAAAACTAAATAATGCATAATATTTAAAACGTGAGTAAAGATTTTATATATATAAACATTACAAAAAAAATTATACAAACATTTCTTTTTATGTGATCATGTGATTAGCTAGCCAACGCCTGTCCGCTGCCAGAAAATTGGCGACAGCCATTCAATTTTATCACTTAACGCCACAGCAAGGCTGCGACCTGAAGACTACTAACAGCTGCCCGCGGCTAAGCGACCTATTGGCTCATTGAAGGCTAAATTCATAAAATCAACTCCCCCCCGCCTTAGCTCGGGGCATATTAGCATTAAAAAATTTTACATTTCCATGGTCATTTTGTCAATTTTGTAAACGGATACTATATTTGGGTTGCTTTGAAAGGAAGAATAAATAAAAAACTACGCACGCACACACACACACACCTACCACACTTGTAATCGTACAACGTTGATACTAGTGTGTTACGTATACGCCCCGACGACGACCAAAACCACTCACTACTGCGCGCTCATCAAGCGGTTGTCATTACAAAAGTCTGTCTCTCTGCACTCACGAAAATATTTACACTTAACTCTACTTGCTGTTGTTGCCTATGTGGTTGTTATTGCGCGCACAACAAACACCGGAAAAGCTTGACATTTCGTGCTTAACTGACCGAGACGTGACTGGAAAGTGTAGAGCGCTCGTATGATGGCAACACTTAACGGAAAGTGTTTTTTTTAATTTTTTTTTTTTTTTGGTTTTATTTTAGTGACATTTATTTTCCCTGCGAGGAGTGAGTAACCAATAAAAAGACTAACTAGCATGACGGTGAAATGGTGGCACTTATACCAGTATGTATGTATGTATGTACTTGTCTACTTACCGCGATCGTATTTGCTCATTGGCCAGTTCTGTACGTGGAAATTTTTTTGATGCCGCCACTGCTGTCTCCAATGAACTGTTATCTTCCAATTCACCTTCGAGTGTGACGAAAATGATTGAGCCCATAGCTGTGTAGATGAGGACGAGCAGGAGAACGCCTAATGGGGTGTGGGATGGAATGGAGAATAAATACAGAGTTTTAAGAAAATCATTAAACAAGTTAAAAATAACTATATTTTATATTTCAATTTTTTCTTCTTCCCAATTTGTACTCTTTTTAAACCTAACTTCACCGACTCTCTCTGCAGCTCCAAAGGCCCACTGCAGTAGTTGATCCATCTGTTTTCTTCACTATTCCTTTCTTTTCATTACTCTCTTCGTGCTATCCTTTCGTTTTTCTATTTTTATACTCAACCATTTCCTTATCCTTTTTATCGATATCTTTCTCATCGTGCTCTAAAATTTCTCCCCTTCGATATTCTAACTCGTCTATTTTTCTCTCCTGAGGCATCTATTTTCGTTTCTATTTGTCTCATTTATGACCTTATCTTTATCCTTATCATATTCTCGTGCATTTCTCTCTTTCTTCCTCTCTCCCTTTCTTCCTCTCTCCCTTTCTCCCTCTCTCTCTTTCTCTCTTTCCTCCTCTCTCTCTCTCTCTCTCTTTTCTCTCTCTCTCTTTCTCCCTCTCTCTCTCTTTCTCTTTCTCCCTCCTTCTTTTTTTCTATCTATATCTCTTTCTCTCTCTGTCTTTTTCTCTTTCTGCATACATCTTTCTTTGTGTTCTCTTTAACTTTTCTCACTCACCTGTCGCCGATATGCAATGTGACTTGGGCGCCTTACTACAGCCACACAGTCCGCCGCTACTGCGCTGTTTCTCACTTGAACCACCACCGTTGCCACTACCACTACCAGAGCCACCTCCTCCGCCACTACCACCACCACCACTGCCTCCTTTACTGCTAGGAAAGCACATGCCACTGCCAATGCTGCTGCTACTGCTCGAACTAGTCGCCGATTGTGAGGGATGTATCAATGTGGGACCACCAATGAATGCCGTCAACGGCAAAGGTGGCTTCTTTTGCATACTAAACGCCCACGTTGGGTGAGCGGGGAGGCTGTGAAGACACGCTTAAGCGATAATGATGGACAATGGGTTGGCACAGCGGGAAGGTATGGGAGAAAGATATAAAGTTGTAGCTCCAAAATGGTATATATCTCCCTTTCAATATCTATCCCTTCCTCTCTCTCTATCTCTCTCTCCTTATGAGATTTCTTGAGTAGCAAACAGTAGGTTTAATGGTCGATAATATGAAGTGCGCTCACTGGGAGAGCCGAGGTTTTGCTTAAATCCAACTTTGTTTGGTACGCTCAATGATCTTTACTTTTCCACTTTCTCTCTCTTTCTCTCTGTCAATATGGGTATGCTATCTAAAAGTTCTCTCAGTCGATAATGTTGTGAGCAGTTGAGCTGTTCTTGGAGTTCAGTTTATTTATTGTAATTTTCAAGCTTTAATTTTGATTTTGAAATCAGATAACGGTATTTTTTAGTATATGCCGTAACATTTTCGCTGCCTCTTTTCCCACAATAAAATACAACTTTTCTTTTCAATTTCTGTTGCTCGCAATTATTTTTAATATTTTACTAAATTTGTTTTTAATTGTCTCTTTTTTATGCTCTCCTCTTCATCTCTCTCTCTTTGATCACTATGGCTCATTGCCTTTGCCGCTTGCTTTATGAAACACTTATTCATTTATTTCCGCCGCTTTGCTGTTGTTGTTGCTCCACTTATTAAAACGCCAGCTGTTGCCGGATTTTTTGTTGACTTTTTGTTGCTTTTTCTCCTTTTTTGTTGTCTTTTTTCCCGTCCTCGCCGGAAGCTGTAATAAAGTTGAAAGTAATGAGTGAGAGATAGAGTTAAATAACTTTTTATTACACAGAGACATACATATACGTACATATATATTTGTATTTTTAAAATGGCTTTGAGCTAGAAAATAACAAAGAGAGGCGGTGAGAGGGTAAGCCGGCAGGATGAAGGCAAAAATTAATTTCATTTAATTTAAAAGCATTTTTATTATTAAATTGACATTAAGCTTTGATAATAAAAATTTTAGCAAAATGCGAAAAAAAAATGTAAAGCTAACGGTAAAGTTATCTATAATTATGCGCTCCATTTGATGCGCTTCGTATGAGAGCGAAATGGAAAAAAGGAAAATAATGTAAGAATAATAATTTGATTGGGCGAAATTGAGCGGTTGAGTGAAAGAGAAAGAGCGAAAGATAGTAGAACTAACTACACAAAGAGAAAGAGAAAGAAAGAAGAAACACAGAATTATGAAAATTTCATTCTTCTTATGCCTCTCAGCTAGAGGGAATGGAGCAGAATGTTTCGATCCAAGCCAGGTGAGATTCGATGAAGTTTACCAGTTATTCATACTCCACTCTCTGATGGTCATAGCTAAGAGATGAGTTAGAAGCCAAGACTTCAAAGAGCCAATAGAGATCGCAGAGATCGAGGGATCATCAGATCTGTTTACCACGACAGCATACTGACTCTTACTGAAGATACAAAATTTTAGCTAGATGGGTGAACACTTCCACACATAGGTTCTCTACTTGTATAGTTATCACTCTAAATTACACCCAACATACGAATACCTCTTCCATTCTTTTCTTCTGAAAGCAGAGAGAAAGTTGAATCGTCTTATATACGGGAGCTTCCCTTTCAATACTGTACTGGCCGAAGCTCTCGATAGCTCTCTGAGTGATCAAATACTTAAATTTGAGAAAGTTGAACAGTGGACTCCGTAGAGCTATGTCTTCATACACATAAGGGTGTATCTGATGCCATGAGCGGACGATTTCCGGATTATTTTCTCGACACTTTTCATCAGAAAATCTACAATGATATCCTACAAAGCACCGGCGGGACGACGATGTCAGAGTCGATGACATAAAAATGAAGAAGCTAAGGATCTGTCAATAAACCGCCTAGAGCGTCTTCGTAGGAAGACTCATAATGTGTTTTACAGCAAGAGCTCATGAGCTTAAGTGGATGGCACATTACAAAAGCAATCTTTCAGTAATCCAATCACAAGTTCGATCTGCTCAGACTCTGGTTCGATTTTGGGCACCCAGCGCGTTTGTACAAGTTTTCATAGTAGGGCTTATGCGATCCTGAAGTAAAGCTTTGTTTACATTTATCAAATACCAAAGTCTTACACACAGAAACACCATAGGTCTTCCATAGCCTACACACTAAGGACAGCTCCGGTTCCTGTTTCAATACTCTTTCTTTGAAAAGAGTTCCACTTCCAAAGAAAAGCCGATCAGGCTCTGCCATCGCGTGCTTGGCTCAAAATAACCCAGCGGTCTAAAAAAAATTCTCCCGAGTTAAAATACAGACTTTGCTTGCTGTATTGAAATATTTTCAGACCGTTTAATTCGTTTCTGTTCTGCAGCTGAGGTCCGCAGTCTGCAAGTTCTGCGAGCATAATCATGCTCCATTCCAATAGAAGCTTCCCAGGCTTGCCAACTGAGTTAAGCTGGCGAGATGGAGGATGGCTAAGAAGGCTGTGTATCACAAGCCTGAAAGATCCATCGTGTTCCCTCTCCAATCGCGCTGCCACACCTCCAATAAGTTGCTCTACTGCACTAATTAATAAAGCTCGTGAAGCGTAAAACACACACGCACTCACTAACTCACACACAAATGCGCATATCGCAAGCAAATACAAATTATGCATAAATCAGCAAATGTCAGTGCGTAAACAAAGCAACACACGAAAGCACAAAGCCACCAATGTCAGTTGTGTAGACAGAGACAGAACCACAGTCAGAGGCAGAGGCAGAGGTAGAGTCCCACATGTTGACACGAGACGCGTCGACAAAGCGAAGCAATTAACAAATCGAGGGCAGCAAAGACTAACACGAAGAAGAAGAAGAATAAGAAGAAGAAGAAGAACGAGTTAAAATAAAATTGAAGGCAAATAAAAACAACAAAACAAAATTTACAATAAACACAACATTCTATCTCTCCTGAAGAAAGCCAAGCCAGTAACGCATGCATTTTGGTAAGAGCTCATAGCCGGCTCCCAGAGCAAACGAGCTCTGGTTATTGTTGATGTTTTGTTGTTATATTTGGAAATGCAAACAACCAAGCGACCAACCAGCCAACCAGCCAACCAGCCTATCCACCAACCACCGGAGCTGAGCTCAGCTGACTAACAATGTGGTGCAAACATGTTTGGCTTGTTGCTGTCGCAGCAAATTTGTTGTCGTTGTCGCTGTGAAAGAATGGCCACCAGGCTAACGATTGCGGAAAATGTTGGCAAAACTGACACACACACAAGCATACACCCATAAACGCATGTACACGTGAGGCCAAATACTCACACATAAAGTGAGCTTTTCCATTCAACTGTTCTTTGTTTGATTTTACGCTTTGCTGTTGTTTTTTTTTTTTTTGTGTTAAATTTCAAAATTTGTATTGCATTTACACTTACGCTTATTGAAGAGGGGCGCCGAAGTATTGGTAAAGTGCAGCCAAACACATGCAGAGAGCTTTAAAGTACCTGGGGTGGCCTCTTTGTAGAAAGTGGAGCTCTCTTGTGGACCTATGCTCCCTCTGAGAGTCCCTCGCTATGAGAACACTTCGTTTTCTCCTTGCTGTACCATTTCTTCAACAGTCAATAACTTCATTCTGGTCGCTCTATTGTTCGAAGACTTCTTTTTTCATTTATATCAAGCTCTCAATTGGCTGTGAAGACGCTTTTTAAGAAAAACAATTAGAGACAGCTTCATTCAACTAAAAGGTGCTGTATCCATCTGGAGAGCACATATTTCCATTAAATATTACCTGGTTCTTCCTGTATTTTGGGGAACTCGTCCCGATAATGCTTTCTTCCACTAAGAGATATCTTGAAACACTCTTCCCCTACTGAAAACCACTCAGAGCCTCTTTTTTAGTCAAGCTTGTCCCGAGATTACTACTGAATACTTTAAGAAAATCGACTCCCTGACTACTTATTCTAGCAATATCCAGCGAAGAGGGTCCCGAGAAATCTTTTTTCAGCTGAGGTAAGTTCAGAGACTGATTAATTTTGTCGAAACCCAAACCGTTTTTTTTACCAGAGTCATCTGTCTGCTACTGAAAGTCGTCTGATTAAATCTTTACTCCAATTAAATCCATTCGAAGAGACTACCAATTCTTTCTGCTAAAGCCTCTTTTTACCTATCGTCACTCTCCTGAACCCATTCTAATAGTCCATTTCTTCAATGAAATGGGTTCTGAGACATCGGTGCTGTAGTGAAGTCCATCCAGAGACTGATACTTATGACTTTAGCCGAGTCAGAAGTTTGTATGCCACTATGTGAAAGCCTCCTAAATATTTCCCCACTTTAATGGAATCCACACGGTTAATACTTTTCATTACTGAACAGAGTCGGTAAACACATTCCCGCGGCTTAACGGCTTTTGGTTTCTCAACAAAATATATTTTTCACGGCTTCACCTCGCAGAAATGAGTTTTGAAATCTTTTTTCTATACTAAAAATCATACTGAGATCACTTTATTCTACTGGGAGTTCTTGAAATACCTCTCCGTTTTACTAAAACTCTTCCGAAGACTACATGTTTCTACCGAAACCAAGACGAATACTACTTTCCTCTACTGAAACGATTCCGAAAATGTGTTTCTGCTCCTAAAATACAACCAGATTTTTTTCCCCCGCTGAAAAGCGCATCGATACTTTCTTCTTCCAAGTGAGACACACTTTACTTCTCGCGGAAGTCACCCAAAGACTGCTTCCATATGCTCACACCCATCCAGACTATACCTCCCGTTCTTAAAACCCATCTAAATACTCTCCACTCCACTGAAGCACAGCCGGAGACTAATTTCCTTCAATCAACTAAAGCTCATTTGGAGCATTATTACCTCCTCTGGAACCCGTCTGGAGTCATTCCAACCCCTACAGCAACCCTCTAAGGAAACGCCCAGATTACTTTGATTCTGGGCTCGCAACCAGTACAGAATAAACTCTGCACCACAACTCACATATGCTCGCACATACTTGGCAATCCTCGGCTAACAATTTCGGTCGAGTTAACAATTAAATCCAAATACTGAAATATTCGAGTATTTGCATTTGGCGCATGTGAAACTCACTGAAACCCTTGTTGGATGTGTGTGCGTGTGTATGTGAGTGTGTTTGCCGACAGCAGTTTTGGATTTTTTGGTAAGCGAGCTACTCGCTCTTGGCTGTCCGAACTACCCACAACCGTTGAAATGCAGATATTAAAATGCGGTCATTATACCACCTACACCGGAGTGGGCGCGGGAAGACCACTAGTTTAGTACACACAGCTAACTACATACATATGAACGAGTATGTATGAACCAGGCACTGTTAGCGCACGCTGAGTAAGAGCCGTGGTGATCTAGCAGTATGCAGCATGCAGCATGCAGGCGTATGAGCTTTGGCGTTGACCGCCGTCGCATAGCAGTTGGGAATTTAGATAACAGAAATATCATGTAGCGGACGAGACGACAAAATGCTGCACACACCGAGCCAAGACACATACGTACGCCGGCATTTCGCATTAGCTGCACTGACGCTGGTTGACCTGATTGCAGCGTCGAGCCAAAAGAGAGCTTAGCGTCGTGAGCTGCTGAAGCCAACCCGTTGCGGCTTAGATTCTTGTACATGCCACAAGCTTCGTCCACACACACGTACTTGTTTTCGTTGGAAGCCTTCATGCCAAATTGTTGTGCATTTGGCGCGTGTCTGCGCATTTTCTCCGCTTTCACGTACCGCCATCCACAGACATTAATTTCATTTCTTTCCTGCATCCTCCATCGATTCGCTTTACCTT